AAACATTTAACTTTTTTTTCCCCATCAACCTGTAAAACTTGTCGATTAGTGGTATTACCACCACCAGTTGAAGTACTGGCTGCAGGTTCAACCCATGGACGGAACATTTTTCACTATATAAAATTTTTAAGACACTTCGAAATAAACGCAACTGACACAACGGAATGTTCGTTAATGACTGAATTTAGTTTAACTATTATCCTCTTTTCGTTTCTAAAAACGGTAATTGGTCAGTTCTCAAAACAGTTACATACTAACTCCCCATTATTTATTTAACTTCCTCTAATCTGTCTGGAATTATAGGACTCGATATCTTAAACAATAGTATTCTTGTCTTCAAAGTCTGGTAATTTATTTGTAACTCTATATCCCATTATCGCTAATCTTCTCAATAGACGTTTAGTACAGAAAGTCAGGTGGTCAGGCAAGTAAATTTAAAATCTAGGAATTTTTTTATTATAAAAATAGTTTTACCTTCAAAACTGTTAACAATTGAAATAGAGAGCCCTCAATTATAATATTATTAAAAAAACATATTCTTTACTATTTCATGAGAATATATATTTTAATCCGGACGTGGGAATCTTTTAACCAACAGACAATTTTATCGCTTATCTACAAATCGAACAATAGTGATAATGTAGGTCGTCGGCTAATATGATTTATGAGAGTCACTAGATCTCTGGTTTAACTATACCAACTTATACAGAATCGTGATTTCCCTAAATCATATTGCCCACTTTCTCTTGGGCTTGCTCCAAAGGTTCTGGTCCAGATGGAATACCACCTATCCTTCTCAAGAAGTGCCCTGCTTTATCTGCACCACTGTGCACAATTTTCCAGAGATCATTCGACAGAGGATATGTCTCGTCCAGATGGAAATATTCTAACTTGGTTCCAATTTTTAAGTCCGGGGATAAATCTGACATAAAAAATTATCGAGGCATTTCTATGCTATCAGCAATTCCTAAGCTGTTGGAATCAATCTTAACAGATGAATTATTTTACACGTTTAAGAAATACATAATAGATGAGCAGCATGGCTTCTACAGAGGCCGTTCAACAACTACTATTCTGGCTATTTATCAGGAGTTTATTACCTCTTCTGTTGAAGCTGGTTACCAAGTTGATACAATTAACACCGACCTCTCTAAAGCGTTCGGTAGTGTATGTCAGCAGTTACTTTTAAAGAAACTATCTGAAATTGGGATAACAGGCAATTACCTTAAGTGGATTAAATCCTATCTTATTAACCGTCGGCAGCGTGTTACAGTGAACGGTTCTGTGTCGCGGGAAGTGACAGTGTCTTCGGGTGTACCCCATGGTTCACATATTGGCCCTATTTTATTTTTGTTATTTATAAATGATGTAGTGTCCTGTTTTAAAAAATCTCATTGTCTCTTATATGCTGACAATTTAAAAATTTTTAATATTGTGGAACCTAATTATAACGCCCTACAGTCTGATTTAGATCAATTTGTCTCTTGGTGCAGTTCTAACTATTTAGAACTAAACATATCCAAATGTAAAGTTAAATCATTTTATAGACGTTCTAACCCCGTCGAAAACTCATACATTATTAATAATACTACGCTGGAGAGCGTCTCCACATTTAATGATTTAGGGGTAATATTAGACAGGGAATTATCCTTTTCTTTACATGTTGATACTATCATTCTGAGGGCGTTTAGGCTATTAGGATTCATAAAAAGAAGCACAAAGCATATACAAGACACTAAAGCAATAACATGTTTGTACAGTGGTTTGATCCGAAGTATTTTAAAGTATTGGAGTGCTGTTTGGTCTCCGTCACAAGGTATTTATGACAACCGAATTGAACGAGTTCAAAACAAATTTCGTAAATATTTGCTATTTAAGTTTCACTTTCCATATCGGGATTTATCGTATGAAACGAGACTGCTACTCTGTGGTATGCAAACTCTTGAACGGAGACGCAGGGATGCAATGTTACTTTTGCTCTACAAAATAATTAATGGAGACATTATTTGTGAAAAATTGTTATGCCAAGTAAATTTCGTTGTTCCGTTAAGGCATACTCGACAGTCACAACTATTCTTTGAGAAAACCCATCGTACAAACTATGGACAAAGAGCTTTCATGAATAGGCTTTTGTGCAACTATAATAAGCACTATTCTCACTGTGATATTTTTAATTGTACGTTATTATCTGTTAAGAGGATGCTCGAATTTTAAAATTTTAGGTTGTTTCTTGTCTTGTATGGTGTTAGACTTTGTTTTTTAGACGTTAAATGTATTTTAAAATTTCTGAAGAGTTTTGATATTTATATATTCGGTTTTTTTTTATATGTATATACTTATACTTCAATTGTTGTTTTAGCTTTAAGACTGTGCCATTTGGAATTCATATTTCTGTAGTGTACTTAAGACAATAAATAAATAAATAAATAAAGTTGGATATAGTAAAATTCGCGGTTGTTACTAGGAACACAACCTGCCGCATAGGTCACACGCGCCAATACGCCAGAAAAATATGTTACAAATTTGAAATCAAGAAACACCGCATTGAAAAGGAATCCTCCTAGGGTATCAGGAAATGAAATGTCCTATAAAAATATAAACACAAAATCTTAAAAAAAAAAAACGTCTTGAGGCTTCCGGGTCTCATAGTTCTAGAGTCAACCTGCAGATTTGTAACTTATTTTCTTATGGCCAAATTTATTATTAAATTGTAATACGTATCCAACGAATTCACGAAAATGTGACGTTCAGATCGGGGCGCTTAGGTAGCTAAGTACTACAAGTGGTACGTGCCTCCCAAAAACATGACTTATTTTCTTAACATTTTTGTTATGCTCATTCGACGATAATTCCCCAGTGCACACCTACAAGAAATATTAAAATATCCACCAATTTCGCTGGGCCATTTGTTCTCTCCAACGTTTTAAAGTAGTGCGTGAGGAGGCATGCGCATGACTCATGTTCTTATGGCTGATTTGTGGATAATATTCAAGTTTTTGATGTTTCAAAAAATTCGCATTCTCCACCAATTTCGCTGGGTAATTTTTCCTCAACGTTTTAAAATGATACGTGAATGGACATAAGCGTGACTTATTTTCAAAAAGTGGACGTTTGTACCAAAGCAAGATAAAAATGATAATGTCGTGCTAGCCATCCAGTCTACATCGATGCATCCGAAAATATACCAGAAACTTCTTTGCAAACATACCGACTAAACTAAAAAGCTCGATGCAGGCCTAGAGTTATTTGAAGCATAACATTTCTGATATAAATAGACTCTTTGCAAGTTAGAAGTTTGAATATAAATGTTGTCAAGTAAAGGTGAATTGTAAAATAAAATAATTAGTACGTAGTGTAAATAAATAAATAATTTTTAAATTAAACAATTGTTACAATACATTTTCACTGAATTAATGTCAATGAAAAATATCGGACAGTTTTTCGTTCGGTTTAAATATAAAAACGCAATAACTTGACAACGTATTTGAATAAATGAATGAAAATAATCAGTCAGGGCTTTTTGAGGTCGCTGAAAACGAAGCTGTTGTCAAATTTTATTACTTACCGATTTTTACATTTATGTCGTTATATAATTAATATTCAATGTGCTGGTTCATATTAAAATAAAACCTATTCATTTTTAAAAAAATTGGATTAAAAGTCGAGGGGGGTTAAAATTAAAAAAAAAGTCATAAATTAAAAACGAAAAACAATATTAACGTGAAATTTTTAGGAAAAATTAAGTTATATAAGGGGACGAAGCCTATTGATTTTGAAAAATCTGAATAAAAATGGGACGTTAAGAGGGGTTGAATTAAAAAAAAAAAAACAGAAATCAAAAACGAAAAGCAATATTAACATAAAATTTATAGTAAAATCAAACTCTATAAGGGGATAATATTGATTCTGAAAAAAATCTGAAAAAAATAGAGAGTTAAGAGGGATTAAAATAAAATCCTAATTCAGAAACAAAAAACGGAAAAATAAAGTTTTTATAAGGGGGATGAAGCCTATTGATTCTGAAAAAAATCTGATTAAAAATGAGAGGTTATGGATTATGTATATTAAAAATATTAGGTACGGGTAGTTAACATATTATGTAATACATTTTTATTTTATATTATACAAACTGGTTTTCCCTTATGCTGGGGGGCTTTAGCGCTACAGCACTTACAGACAAGCCGCCACTGCCATTAAGAATGGCTAGTAAACATTTTCAAATTCGTTTTCAGCGACCTCAAAAAATCTGGTGAAAAATACTTTGTCAAATTATTGCGTTTATATAAAACGGTTATTTTTTAAAATTCTTTATGTTGGACACTAAAAACAGCCCAATATTTTTAACGGACACTAATTCAGTGAAAAGTTACCATTTTATCTTGCACTTGCATCAAGCGCATGCCTGTTTAAGTACCACAAAGGAGGGAGGGAGGAAAAAAAAGGCGCAGAGAAATTGGAGGAGGTGGAGAATTTTGTAAAACACTTAAAAAAAAACATTGAAAATAAGGCACGCATATGCTATCTTATGAACTACTTTAAAGCGATGGAGAAAAAAATAGCCAGCGAAATTGGTTGAGGGTTTAAAATTTCTTGTAGGTAAGCACTTATCGTCGAACGAGCATAATGAATATGTAAAGAAAGTACATAACGATTATCTTGAGGTTTCTTTTTATGGAGCAAACCTAAAGTAGTGGATGCTTATTATGCTGCTTTTACTTTAGAAAATTTACTAGAGAAAATATTCTTTGACCATTTTCTGAAGAATGAGGCAAACTTAATAAATTAAGAACAAAATTTGTTAAGTTGGCAAAAACAGTAGATTTAATGCCTAAAACAGGAGAACAGAGACAAAAACATCTTTGCTGTCGCGTCTGTTGTCGTCTGTCGCGCTTTCCAAAATGGTACCTTTTACGTAGCACTTTCGTGAATTCGTTGGACAAAACATTGTAATATAAAGAAGATATAAATAATATTTTATCTATGGATTTTATATTTCTTACCGGAATGAAGATAGCTTTTGATAGACGTCAAATAAACCAAGACTTCTTCAAATTGATTGGCAAGAAAAAAAGCAGCAGCCATGCACTGTCTACCGTGAATAGTATCGCATTCACTGGTAGAACTGCCTACCAAATGAAAGCATTCTTCTGCTACCTTAATATGTTCCAACTAAAAAAATTAAAAAAGATACAGTGTGTTGCAAAAGTAGGCACCAAGAAAATACGAAATTGTAGAAACTTTTTTGGATAAATAAAACTAGATTAAATTATTATTTTTACTAAAAATTAGATATAAGAGTTAAAATAATTTTGTTCAAATTTTTAATTTGATAAAGTTAACTTATTCCATCGCTACAAAACATTTTAAAATCTCGGTGACTGTAATTTCATATTTGCTGATAAGTATTTTTTTTTTCTTTATCTTTATCGGTTGTAAGCAGGTAGGGTTAGGTTTGGCCCAGAACACTGCGACCTCTTGGGTATATTGTGTTCCCCTCCTTTCCCCGTATTCAGGTACTATCTTTGGAATAGTCCTGTGTCTTTGGTTGGTGTTAATAGGTTCCCTACCAAGTGTTTCTGGGGCGTTCTTTCCGATTCTAGGCCGAAAAGGATAACACATCGCCTAGTAAGAGCTTTGCATTCGAAGATCACATAGTATGACGTTTCTTCCTCTTCCATGCAGAGTCTACACGTAGTAAAATCATTGTGTAATCCCATCACATGAAGGTGTTTCAGCAAGCAGTGCCCCGTTAGTAATCCCACAATGGTGGATATCTGAGGCCTTGCGAGTTGTAGTGCCTCAGTAGCCATGCGTGGGTTTGGTCCCCTTAGCATGAGCTTACTGATTCTGTGCCCTCTTATCTGTTGCCAGTGAATTTGGTGTTTTGTGGTTATCCACCTGTTCACTGCCTGTCGAGCAGAGGTTTTGCTTATCCCAAATACAGGTTCGGGTCCTGTGAATTGTAGATCTGATCCCTCTTTGGCGAGTTCATCAGCCTTTTCATTTCCTTGGATATCTTTGTGCCCTGGTACCTACGCTAGTTTTACCTTGTTGTGGGTTGCCAGATCATTTAGGATTCCAAGTCAGTTCCAGATAAGCTTTGACTTGATTCTGTTTGAATCAAAAGCCTCTAAGGCTGCTTGGCTGTCTAAGAGAATTAGGATGGTTTGTTTTTTGTACTTCTTTCTTAACTTCTCTCGTACACACAATTCGACTGCATGTATTTCAGCCATGTACGCCAGAGCCCTTGATAGTTTTAGATCCATTCGTATACCATACGAGACCGCTAAGCAAGTATTTATCTATCTCCTTATTTACCTCGTTCCAGTTACAGTTGACCTGGAAGAGTCTGTTAAAGGTTAGGAGGGGTGTTATGTGATCTGATCCCATATTTAGTATAAAATCATTTACTTCATGTGTTATTCTTGTATGTTTTATATGTCCCAGTGGGTTCCAGTTGTTGGAGATTTCCAGTCTATATGCACTCATTCTGGCCTCCCCCTTTATGACTAGGTTAAGGGGTGGGAGGTTTAGAATTATTTCCATAGAGGCTGTCGGTATACTTCTCAGTGCTCCTGTAATACAAAGGCATGCCAGCCTCTGTACTCCTGAGAGGGCTGTTTTCTGGTTTACTTTTGGCCACCAAACAACCACTCCATAAGTTATCATGGGTCTTGTTACTGCCAAATATAGCCAGTGGACCACTTTTGGTTTTAATTCCTATGTTTTTTCAAATGCCCGTCTCCCTACAATGAGAGACATTTTACATTTGTTGGTCACTTTTTGTAAGTGTTGGTTCCAAGTAAGTTTATTATCTAGGATTAAACCCAGATATTTTACTTGGATCGTTTTTTTTTAGCCTTCCTCCAAACAGAGTCGGAGTTTCTAAAACCTCCAACCTTGTTTTCCGAGTAAAGGTTATGAGTTGTGCCTTGTCAGGGTTTACCAAGAAGTTTTCCCTAACGCACCACATTTCTGTCAGCCTAAGAGCTCTTTGCATGAGTTCAAAGACTGTGGTTTGGTGTTTCCCTCGGATAAGGATGACTATGTCATCGGCATATCCTTGGGGGTACAGCCCTTGATTGCTTAGTTTTTCAACAGTTCATCTGCCACTAGGTTCCACAGTAGAGGAGAGAGGACTCCACCCTGTAAGCATCCCCTGTGAATATTTACCTGTGAATATTCACCTGCATGGTTTCACTGAACATTTGTGCCTGTACTTGCCGTCCGCATAACATGTCTTCTATTCACCAGCAGATGGTATCTTCTATTCCATGTTTGCGAGCGGCAGCTACCATTGATTTAAAGGAGGTATTATCAAAAGCTCCTTCTATGTCAAGAAATGCTCCTAGGACTATTTTTTTGCTACTGAGTCCTCCCTCTATCTTGGTTACAAGATGCTGCAGAGCAGATTCACAAGATTTTCCTGATTGTTAGGCATGTTGGTTTGTATGAAATGGTCTCTCTATCAGAGTGGTTTGCTGGACATGCTGATCAATCAGTTTTTCCAATCCTTTCAATAGAAATGACGTCAGAGTTATTGGTCTATAGGCCTTTGCCACGGCATACGTTGGACGCCCCGGTTTAGGTATGAAGATAACTCTGCTTTGTTTCCAGGTATTTGGTACATGTTTATGCACCAAACTTGCCCTGTAGAGCCTACAAATATGCGGGACCAGCGTTTCTATTACCTGTTGCAAAAGCACATGCAGTATCCCATCTGGTCATGGTGATTTGTATGGATTGAAGGTGCGTATTGCCCATGTTACTTTCTCTGTTGTAACTATCCGTTTAGCAGTTTCCCACTCTTGGCTGGAGACCTTTTTTTGAGAGTTCCAGTTCGTGTGGGTTTGGTTTGCTGAATTCGAGTTTGTTGTGCAATCAGGATTTCTAAAGTCCCCACAGAGTTTATTGGATCTTTTGCTAGAATGCGGTGGAGTCTGCATCCTTCAGTTGTATTTTCAATTTCCTGACAGAATGTTCTCCATAAATCCCTCTTAGATTTCCTAGGAGTTTTGTTATACTCTGTGAGTGTTTCGGTGTATTCCCCCCACTCATTCGTTTTTTTATCCTTATTAAAAAGTTAACGTGTTTTCCTGCTAAGTTTGGTGTGTTCGGTGTTCCACCAGCTCACCTCCCTAGAAGTTTTCCTGTTCTTTAACTTGCAGTTATTGTGATATGATGTTATAATTGCGTCCCGTAGTTGTTCTGCAACTTCATCTATATCATTTTTAGTATTAAGAGTTATTTTAACGGTTTTTAACACTGCCCCCAGCTCCACTCCGTATCCAAACCAATCGGTTTTATGTGGGTCTCAATATACATCTCCCGGTTTATCGACGTTGACGATTTCCATGAGAATATGCCGATTATCTGAGAGCGAAGGCTCTTTAGACACGTACCAATCGCCAATGTGATTTGAAACGAAGGAAGAACCAAGGGTAATATCAATAACCTCGCTCCGTCTACTGGTTACAAAAGTAGGTTCGTTTCCAGTATTGAATCCAAACAAGTTTTTTCGCTATTTTTAAAAACAAGAGTACTATAGATACTTTTGAGCCAAATTCATATTTTTTGACCTTCATCGTATATGGCACAATTAATTTTAATATTTATAAATTTTATATTAGTTTTTATCAAGATTAACTTTTTTTTCTGACAAATCAACGATAACAAAGTATTTCATATGGCACAAAAATGCAACACAATAAATCATACAAACAGTTTAAATACGAGTAACTTACGGAGTTGAGTTCTTGACCTAAAGCCGCGTTAACAACACCTTTCAAAATGTACTCTTGCGGTACTGCTGGTTGTAGATCCTTTATTAATTCGAAAGCTTCTTTCGTATCGTTATTTCTGAGATAGTGAATTACCAAATTCAATCTTGCTTCGGGCACCACATCGACCAGTGAAGGAAAAACCTATAAAAAATAAACAATAATAAAATGAACATAAAAGTTAACTTATACGAGGGTTGCCTTTTATATTTCGGGATTGGATAACCCTAGTGATGCAAACTAGCAACTGACAGCTCTGTCGTAAAGTTTGACATTTTTGAGGTCATGCGTTCTCAGAAAGTTTTGACATATTAGCGCTATTTGTGTTGTTTACAGTAACTTTAAAGAATCATCTTGGCCAAAAAATGGAATTAAATCGTGAACATTTTTATGCGATTATTTTTTACAACTTTCGACGTGGATTAACTCAGCAACAGTTCATCGATGAACTTATTTCAATTTTTAACGATGAAGCTCCATCAAGGAACAGTGTTTATCGATGGTATGGTGAATTCAATCGAGGTCGTAGTTCGCTCCAAGACGAATTTCGTGAAGGTCGTCCAAAATCAGTTGTTGTTCCGGAAACCATTGATGCTGTGCGCGAACTGATATTGAAAGATCGCCATGTGACCTATCGTGAGATTGAGACCACCTTAGGCATTAGTACGACCAGCATACATTCAATATTGCATGAATATTTGACTGTCAAAAAAATTTGTGCGGTACTTCTAAACACATCTATGACATAGTGACAGGTGAGGAATCGTGGATTTATGCGTATGAGCCCAAAATTAAACAGCAGTCGACTGTATGGGTGTTTCAAGATGAGCCAAATCCAACAAAAGTTGTTCGCGCACGAAGCACTTCCAAGCAAATGGTCGCGTGTTTTTTCGGAAAAATTGGACATGTCGCAACCGTACTACTAGAACAACGCAGAACAGTCAATTCTGAGTGGTACACAAACATTTGTTTGCCAGTTGCCTTCCAAGAAATGAGGAAATCCAACCGCCGAAGACGGATCACTCTTCACCACGACAATGCGAGCTCTCGCATATCGGCTCAATCAACTGCATTTTTGAGCAATCAAAACGTCGATGTGATGAGTCATCCACCGTATAGTCCTGACCTGGCACCGAATGACTTCTTTTTATTCCCGTATACGTAAACCGATTTTCGATGATTAATATTTGTTTTTGTTCTCTAATCCCGAAATATAAAAAGCAACCCTAGTATGTGTTATTTCGTTAGTCTTAATAAAGTCTTGATTTAATCAAATATAAAAATTATTTGTTTTATTTTTAGGAATTAAGTTAAATAAAATATAAAAAGTCTCCATCTGTTCTTATTCTCGAAGAACTCGCATAATATACAATAGTTAAAAATACTGAAGCAAATTTTTCTTACTTGCATGGCACCTTCACCATCTCTAAAAACTACCAAATTATGTTTTAATAAGTCATATCCAAAGCCAACATGACTACTTTGGTCAACAATGGATTTCAATTCATTTTCTGCTGCTGTTCCGTTATAGAGACGAAACGTATTGCAAGCCTAAAAAATTTAAAATTGTTTACTTGAGAAAATCACAAGATTGGTAAGAATTTTAACAGGTGATTAAAGAAAGCATAAAGTCTTATACAGGGTGAATCCTAATTTGATACTTATTTTAACTGTGTATAGAAGTCGTTAAAGTAAAAATTTTTTACAATTAACTTTTTCTAAAAATTAAAAAGTAAGAAAGATGCAGAATTTGAATACCCAAACCAGTAAAATCTATTCATACAGTCCATTAAAAAACACAAATATAGGGAGAAATCAGCAAAATTACCCCATATTTGCGCACCTATTAAGATCAGTGGTTAAGTCGAGCAGAGCGTTATTTAAGTTATTTTGTTGTGAAGGATCGACCTTGATCCCCATTTATATATACTAAACAAACTGTCGAAAAAGGCTTTCCAGAAGTTTATGAAAAGTTACAAATATTTTCACTAAATGTTTCGGTGTTTTACTATTGAATCAATCCTGCTATTTTAGTAATTAAAAGTACATATTGTAATGTAGAAAATAAAATATTTTTTTTAAATACCTTCAAATTTGTAGCAATCACAGAATCAGGATATTTGTTTAGGTATAGTCCTAATACCTCTTGGGACACATCATAATAGTCGAGTTTGTAGTAACAGAGTCCAACATAAATATTTAATGCTATATTTTCTCTGAAACAAACAATGCTTACTATTATCTTCTGCAGAACGTTTCCTAAGGGATATTTCTGATTTAGTAAAGTCATCTTTCATTTTTATCATTGAGTGTTTGAGTGTGGTAAGTTTTGCAAGAATGCGAAATAACAATAGTAGCGATAATAAACAAGATTACTTTGCTGTTAGAAAAACCCATAAAGTTTTGACCTAAGCAAAGAATACTATTCTTTGACCTAAGAAATGTCAAACACAAAAAATACCAATCATATGATCTAAAATTTATGATTAGAAACAATAAGAATAATATTTAAAAATTAATTATCAAGTTCTATTTCTTATTAACGGCGTTTTGATGATATTTGGAAGAAATTGATGGAAAGGCACAATCTTATCAAAGGGTTCCTAAAGAAGGAAGTATTTTTGCCATTATTCTTGTAGATATACGGTGATTTTGTATAAAACGGCGGTCCCAAGAGTGAAAATACAATATTTTAACAAAGTAACTATTAGCCCGGTTGCCTAAACTTTCAATTTATATCAATTTTTGTTGGAGCTTCAAATGTTATCTATCTCTTGTGCTAGTGTATAGTTCAAACTGAGCTCATCAGTGGTATTTTCATAGCAAAAAAAAGAAATCGGCAGAAATAAAAATAATTAAACTGAACATGGGTTCATCTATTTATACAGATATCAGACAAGCACTACTCATCCAGGACAAACCAACCGTCTTGCCTAACCAAATACTCTTCGGATCTGGTCCTTACGTTGGACAACAACGGCCATAATAACAAATCTAATTAACTAACATTCTCTTGTAAAATTCAAGGGATGGTGGGATGAAACAAGACGCTGCAGCGATGCTATGTTACCCTAAATAAACACTCTACTATAACTAGATAAAATCTGCGAGTGTTCACAGATTACAAGTATTCTGCCTGGTCATTGCCAAGTACAGAAGCACAATAATATTGGGATGTCAGACTCCGTCCCTTTGCAGGGGGTGTTAACAAGAAGCTGAGACATCTAGCATACATCCTCCATGATTTCCCGAAGCTTTCATCTTTTAGGAGATTTGGGTTCGGCTAACACCAGCCAACATAAGAGAGACTTTCGGGTATCGGCTATCTTAACTTTGTAAGCTGACTGACTAATCTAAGAGAGTCCTCGCCAATTCACTAATACGCACTATACGCCTAAGTGCTGTAACTGTTAATTCACATTAAATGTGAAATTTTAATTAGCTATACCCTTAGAAAGGCTATAGCCATTAAAAGCCGTGTTTAAGCATATATACTGGTTGTTTTTTTTTTTATTTTAAAAAAATACTCAAATGAGAACAAAGTTACCTACGTTAGGTCTTATATGCGATAAATATGGTATATCTGGTCGATCAGCTGCTGAGATTGCTTGTGCAGTATTAAAAGATGTAGAAATAATTACTACAGAATAGTTGACAAAAATAAAGTGAGAAGAGAATGACATACATTTAGTTATACCGCAAGGAAGGAGTTTGTAAGTGATAACAGAAGAATAAGAAGCCTGTATTTTGGTGAAAGAAAGGACAAAACTTTACTGCAAGAGAAGAAAACTGTTGTCGAAGAACACATATCGCTTATCGAGGAACCTGAATCTATCTATATTGGCCACGTATCTCCAACTACAGGGACGGCAAAGTCAATTGGAAAAACAATATCGGACTTTTTTGCTAAAAACAATTTGGAACTAGATGATTTAACAGCTGTGGGTTGCGATGGTACTGTTGTTAATACCGGTAATAAAAATGGTGTTATTAGATATATTGAGACTGTTGAAACGTCCTTTACAATGGTATATTTGCTAACTACACGCCAACGAATTGCCATTAAGACATTTAGATGGCAGCACAGTGGGACCTCGTCAATATTATGGTGAAATCTTTAGAAAAATATGAATGTCTTAAAATTGTAAATTTTACCTCAATAAAATGTGAGTTGCAAAATATGACTGCAATGTCTAGAGATCTAAGTTATGATCAGTCATATTTATACAGGGTGGCTCACGCTCAACGGGACGGAGCTTTATAGGAAAACGACCAAATATATAAAAAATTCGTTTGGGAGGAATACGTAGGTTACAGACGGCTACAATTTAAAATTTGTTAGATGTATACAGGATGTCCCACATAAGAAAAAAAAAATAGTTCATTAAAAATTATTCAAACAAGAGTAAACAATTAATTTCTGGGAGACTTTTTTTCCTTAAAAATTCAAATAAATCGAAAACTAATAATAATAGTAATAGGGAACCTTTAGTTAACTTACATTATTTTTGATGTAGTTTTTAATTCTAAAATAAAAAACAGGGTGTTCCATTAAAAATAATATAACTTTGTATATTTTCTCTTATGTGGGACATCCTGTATACATCTAACAAATTTTAAATTGTAGCCGTCTGTAACCTACGTATTCCTCCCAAACGAATTTTTTATATCTTTGGTCGTTTTCCCCATAAAGCTCCGTCCCGTTGAGCGTGAGCCACCCTGTATAACATTTGCAATACAATATCAAGAGGCAATTTATCATCAAATTTAGCACACCGTAATCCTGGGAAATTAGCGTACTCTAAATGGCTCACAATGGCAAATTGTGTTCTTCGGCTCTATGCTGAAACGGAAAAGCCAACATGAAGCCTTACGGATATTAGCGAATTCATAATTAAAGTGTATGTCCCAATGTGGTTTAATATTAAACTAAATTTCAGTTCCACTAATGGTAGTTTGCATGTATTTAAAAAGATCTAGAGAAACCAGTCGAGAAAACGTTGAAGTAAAAGACACTTTGTGGTACCAAAATTTAATTTTAGTGCTACAGCCTACTTTGATTTAATTTACTGGAATGAGTGCAATGTGACACCGCCTCCTGTTTTAAGGGCTTTTACTGATGATAATCTAACACCCGTATGCATAGTCGATCGCCAGCGATTCACCAGAGATTGATCTCGGCAGTATCACCAGCGATACCGCCGAGATAAATCTCTGGCGAATCGCAGACGAATCGCTGGCGATCGACTATGCATACGGTTGTTAGGGACCTTATAAACGAAACCGAAATTCCAGACTTTGATTTGCCGAAGTTCCCTTGTCATACTTAACCCGTGGAGAGATGCGTAAAATTAGTTAAAGAGTCACCTTCTTTAGTAATTGGTCCAGAATCAAGAGACGGCTTTATTTGCTCTAGAATAAAATCAAAAGAAATTATAACGCTATTGGTCTAGGGAAAATCCTCACTGGATAAGAGAACAATCGCAATACCCTGAAAAGGTTAATGTTTGGACAGGAATTGTTGGCGATCATATCATAGGTCCCTTTTTCATTGATGACAATTTGAATGGCGATAATTATTTAGTACTGCTCCAAAATAATTTCATGCCAACTTTAACGAACCTATATCCCGATCCAGCAAACCCACAAGTTTCAGCGTATATGATATGGTTTTAGCAAGATGGCGCACCGCCACCATATCAATGTCCGGCAGTACCTCAATCGAGTATTTCCAAATCGGTGGATAAGGAGGCGAGGATCGATGGAATGGCCAGTACGATCCTCTGATCTGACATCATTAGACTTTTTCTTATGGGGTTATGTCAAAAGTATTGTATACAAAAGTAAACCTCTCTACCTAGCTGACTTAAGAAGACGAATAACGCTTGCGATTAGATCGATCACGCCTCACGCCTGAGATGTTGAGTAACGTTAGAAGACATTTTTATTTCAGATTAAGATGTTGCCAAGAGGTTCGGCGGCAAGCATTTTGAACATCTCCTACATTGAGATGCTTTTTTTTGTTACATTATCAAGAAATAAACACTAGTACTTATTAGTTTTAGAGTATGTTCTAATTTCAGTAATCAAATAGTTGTATTTTATTAATGTTAATTTTTGCAATTAATCGGAAAACATTTAATATTTCCGAAACAGTTAGGTATATGACCTAGTACAGTCTAGAATCTTCTGAAGAATCCAAAAATTGAAAAATAATCAGGGTCTTGCATTTAAAATAAGAAAGTTGGTATTGGTCACTGATATGTGACACACCCTGTACAAAAAGTTTTGATTGAAAAAATGCACAAATAAAAATACCAATCGACGTGTCCGAGCGTTTTTCCGAACACGCCCCCATTGATTTATTACCGAATTTATTCCATTTGGCTGTTCCACACTGTATAACCGGTTGCATGAACGTTTTTTAAAATTTATAGGTCTGTGAATGTCAAATTTTATCAGACTCAACAATTTTAATGATCGTTCTTGCAACTGACTGTAAGTGTATTTTTTGTCCTGTAGGATTAAATATATATTACATTTTAATTAATTTAAATAACTTTTTACCTATTTTGTAAAAGCAATCTCTTATAAATATCAATGGCTTCCTGATAATGAGCCCTCAAATAATGTATAGCGGCCAAACTAAGTTGGTCCTCCAAATTGTCTTGTAACTGTTGGTGATATTCCATCAATGTAGCTTCATCTTTTATTTTATGGGATAAATGAAAACTTAGTCTAGTTTTTAGTCCACTTGACGGTGCTTTTTGTAACAAATCTTTTGACTCCTCGTACATGCCTATAAAAAAATTAAAAAATAATATAGATCTAATGATTTTGCTACCTAAAAAAGCTAAAAACGACAAAAAAAAATCGAGACCTAAAGAAATTATCCTTCCTGGACCAGTCAAGAAAAGTGTTGTTTTAATTTCTACGTACGATTCACTCAACTATTCTGCATTTCATAAAAAAAAACATATAACAAATAAGTTGTATTTGTATCCAATTTCAATTCGTCTGTATTCGAATGTAATTTGCTACCTGGCGCGCTATTAGCCGTGAGCCTATATAGACAATTTAAAAACTTACATGAGCTATATCCTGTTAGCTCTGGCTAGATCTCATGAACTAAAGATAATATCAGAAAAGTAATGCCTGGAAATAATTAAAAATAGTTCATTCAAATAAACATGTCATCTTCTCTTTAGATAGGTTTTTAATTATTATGTACCTATTTTTATAATAATATCTCCCTATAATTCATCTCTAGAAGCTGACTGAGCTTGTGCGTGGAAGGGACAGATTTTATTATTATTTGCCGTGGCGCTCCAGATGACTGATGGTGCCATTTGACTTAAATGTGAGGAAAACCCCACCCATCCGGTTTTTTAGCTTCTTGAGTCTTATTTGTTACGTTTTAGTAAATTATATATCACATATTACATTTGCTGGACAGTAATGGCGTTTCGCTAGACAAATACAGCGTTTTGTTGGACAATTCCGACGTTTTGCTGTACGTTTGATGTACAAGAACAAATGCTGGACAGACTTTGAAAATGATGTACCTATTGTTATCCTAATTATTGATCCAATAGGTATTTCATAAACTTGGCCGATGGTTCCTTGATGAACTGTTTGGCCTGTCTCAATCTTGGGGCTATGGGGGCCATGCCACCTCCCTCCTCCAGAGATGAAAATTCTTACGATTAATGAGCCTTTTATTCAAAAAAATATACTAAAAAGGGAATGGTTAAATGCAAACAGAAAATCGTAAATATAAATACGAATGAGACGGACAATAAAAAATGGCGGCGCCCATAGAGTCGCACCTCGCTAGTTCTCTTGATACAACATTAATTAGCATTGTTGTCACCTTTTTGAAAAGTGAAAAAAGGACTACGATGCTGACAGGGGCTCCAGTATACAAAAAGTCCTCATCCTTCTACTGAATTTCTAAAAAAAAACAGCTTATATATTTTTGTACAAACAATATGTCCTTTCCAAAGAAATGTGCTGTAAAAAAAGAAATTTGCCGTAAAAAAATACATTTAAATACATTTGCCGTAAAAAGGGACATTCGCCTTAAAAAAGGACATTTTAAGCTTTAAGGATATTTTGCTTCAAAAAGGACTGTCCTTTTCAAAAAAGGACAGGTGGCAACCCTAAATTTCTACCCCACTCCGGTTCATTGATCTGATCCAAAGCCGACAACGCTTCTTTTGTTTAAATTGCTGTACTTTTAGTTGCATACGCTTCAGGGCCATATAGGTATATTCTATTTTACTGATTTAAAATCTTACCTAAATAAAAAAGGCAGCAGGCAGTATTTACCAAAGAATGCTCAATATCTGAATGTACTTTTTGTAGATTCTGATAAATATTTAACGCCTTTTTGTAATCACCTCTATGGAATGCACAAAATGCTAACCATTGATCCACAATGTATTTTTTATTTTCGGGAATATGATTGAACTAAAAACAATTTAAATTTAAAAATGTTATACACGCTACTAAACGTATAATAAATAAAAAAAATGTACCTCGAGTAATGTGACTGCGCCGGCATAGTCCCGTTTTTTTAGGTATTCCTCAAATTGAGAATTTTTTGAAGGCGTTTTTCCAAATTCTTTAGTGGATTCATTGTTGGTTTGCAATGCTGGTTTAGCTCTGCTCAAAATCTGAAAATAAAGAGTTACTTTATGTGTTTGTTTTTACAATTATTATTGCTTACCATTATTTCTCATTTAATAATTATTTGTTGTAAGTGTTAAAGTGGCTGGTTTCCATGGAAATCGGGAAAATTAAGAGAGGTATTAAAATATGAGAAAATCACAAGAAAAATCCAATGAACATTTGCATGGGGTTTCGTTACATATTTGTATTAGAAATGATCTAAATTTGATTTTATAAAAATCTCTAGATCGTAAATTTTTCTACAAATTTTTTTCTTCCCCATTAATGGGTAACGGGTTCCTTCTCATTATTTTACTTATTAGAAAATTATATGTTCCACAAGCAGAAAACTTTGAAAATTATTTATTTCCAACAAAAAATTTAAAAAGTAACTTACAATTATTAATATTAAAATAAAGTCCCTGGAAAAGGCAAAGGTTCGTGCTCAAAGAGAAGAAGTTTATTCTTCTTTTATTTTATTCATCTGTACCGTTTGCTTCGGAATATACAGTCATTTTCTTTTTGTCGATTTGTCCGAATAAAAACGGGCAACTTTCTGTCATATTTTCTTAAATATAGAAGATTTATTGGGGTTACATTTATGATAAAATTTAAAAGATAAATATCACTAATTTGATAAACGTACAAAATTAAGATGTTGGATAATGTAAAACATATTATTCTGATACTGTCTGGAAAAGGAGGAGTTGGCAAATCTACAGTTAGTACCCAATTAAGCTTAGCATTACGAGAAAAAGGATATAAGGTTTGTTGTTAAAAAGAAAATTATCTGTATATAAAGTTTAATATAAAATCTTATCGCAGGTTGGTTTGTTAGATGTAGATCTATGTGGTCCAAGTGTTCCTTATCTTTTACAATTAGAAGGCAAAGATGTGCATCAAGCTGAAGAAGGGTAAGCTATGTCTTGGTTTCAAATTATGTTTAAGTTCACCTGTTGTCTGTTGTCCCAGATTTGAGCTCTTTGTATATCCTCCCTCCCTCATTGAGAACTATGAAGGCTTACCCTTAATCTAATATGCTGCATACACATTTGAACAATTCAGAAGGGTAATAAATTGATTATTAGGGACACAACCTAAGATTATTTTATGTAGTGTTTGTAAATGTAACATAAAAGATGTACCTATTTAATATTTTTAATAAATTAGAATATGATCACTAACTTCTGTTTAAGAGTTATTGCTTTCAACCCACAATTTTAGTTTTAGGGGAAATTCACAGCAGGGTTTATATTGTTTTTAGACGGACTCGGAAGAATTGGAAAAGTTATAATAAACAAGAACAAATTATTGGTTGAAATTAAATACAATTTGACTTAAAGATGATTAGGTGACTTGTATCTGAGCGACTTTTTGAACTTGTAGGTATATCTTCAGGAGTAAATAATATTAATAATTTAGTAGCTCTCATCACAAAAAATGAACCTAAATATTCTTCATACCCATAATTTTAAAAATAAATCGATGAAATAGATGAAAATAAAAAATATTTTCAGTTATTTTAATTCTTGTAAAAATAAAGAGACTGTTCTTCAACAAAATTGAAAACAATGTCCATTTTGATTCTGTATCAGTTATTGGTTAATTGGGTCTGATGGATAGATATGCCACCTAATATAAATAAGTAAAAAGGTTACTCAGTAATTTTAATAACACCCAATTAAATAGATAGAATATTAAAAAACTGTCCTTACTTGAACACATTACACATCCCATATAAAAGATTTGATTAACAACATGAATTTTAAGATGGATTCCTGTATACACTGATGAAGAACAAAATTTAGCAGTGATGTCTATTGGATTTCTTCTAAATAATAGAAATAGTGCTGTAGTATGGAGAGGTCCAAAGAAAACCTCCATGGTGAAGCAATTTTTAACAGATGTCTGCTGGGGAAGTCTAGATTATTTAATAATAGATACACCTCCAGGTATGTAATATTAAAAATTAAAACATACTTATGTTGTTCTGCCATGGAAAGTAAATGTATTTCCACATTTCTTCCTTTTTCTCCATCTCCTCTAACAATACTCCTCCCGTTTCTGTATTTTTGTTGTACTATGGTTCCTGTGGATAAAATATTTTATTTAGTTCTAATTATTTTTCCTGAGGTTTTAATCTATCCGTTTAAGATACCTCTTTTCTCCAGATTTGAGAGTCTAGATATGAATAAACCTTTATGACTGTCTATGTCAATTTCTTGGTTCACTCTGCTTAGATAAATTTGACAGATTGTTACAAACCAAACGATTTTAGGTACATCTGATGAGCACATAACAGTAATGGAAAATTTAAAAAATGTCAAGTGTGATGGAGCCATAATCGTAACTACTCCTCAACAAGTGTCTATTGAGGATGTTAGAAAAGAAATTACATTTTGTAAAAAAACTGGGATTCCAATAATAGGGATCATTGAAAATATGAGTGGGTGAGTAGAAAGCGTATCCCATGTACACTGCTCAACAATTGGATATTTCAAGAAATTGTATATTTTCAGTGTAAATATTTGAAATACAAAATTGCAAAGTTTTTCATTAATGTTATGATGTAACCTGAAAATTAAACTATGCAATCCAAAAAAATAATGTAGAAATAGGAAAAAGTAACGATTTTTAAAGTAATTTTTATTTTTACATCTTAAAAAAATATAAATATCCAGTAGCAACTGCTTTGGAAGAATCATTATCAAATTATTGCTAAGCCAATTATTTTAGTGTTTGTGTAAGATATTGAAACCAGTTTAATTGCCTTAAAATTTTTGCTATAGGTATACATCATACAGTGGGCATATTTTAACATTTTTGTTGAGCAGTGTATACAAGCTACATATGTATGTTTGATAATGTTGTTCATTTCATGAATATATTATGTGTCAGTGTACATGAGAATGTTTTATCTGGCTCTGTCATGAAATAGTGAATTTTCGAAAAAGCATTATTGTTTGAGCGCCCGATCAAAATAGCGCTGAACGAAATAGCGCCTACTCAAAAAAGGGCATATCAAAAGAGTGCCTGATCAAAATAGAGTGTCAGTCAAACTAGCGCCCGAACGAAACAGACATAATTTGATTGTTTGAGATCAATGGATTATTTTGTTAATTGGTCATTGAAGAGAATAAGTTGCCAATTTTGAAGGCAAAGTTAATTATAATTCCTTGATCAATTCTTCAAAAATCGAATAATGTAGGGATCAACCGATATTATCCTTTGTGGCCGATACCGGTATAATGGCCATACATTTTTATTATGAATTTTCACTATAAAATTTAGAAAAAATTGACTGATTATGACCCTTTAGCAAAAATTGCTAATAAATCAAATCAGGTAAACCAAGAGGTTCAGGACAATGTGCCTGACTCGATTTTTCAAGACTTGTTTTGAATACCTTTGAAGAACCTACCGGTATGACAGCACGTAAGTCACCACCATATAGGAAGAATACTATATGATACATAAAATTGAAGGTGACCTTAAAATTTACATTAAATTAGAGAAAATATCAAAAATGGAGATCCTTTAATTTAGTGGGCACAAAAATAAGGCATATTTCTACTGTTATAGATATAGCTATTCTCTTCAGCTGATATTGTATACGGCGATTCATTAAGGGTGGAGATCGGTCGTATCTCAAAATATCTTGAAGTAGGTCACAAAAACAGGTCAATTTGTATTTCAAGGGAGGCACCTTTCTATATAATATCATCAACAGTCATATGTCATTCCTCTCCCCTCTGTCACTCACACCAGTACAGTTTAAATAGGGAAGGTACCATGTATGACACGCCATCGAAAATGTAATTTTATGGGAAATTCATCAATATGACTTCATCGCGTAACTTTTCATTTTAACGCCCTCTAGCGGCATAAAAAACTGTTGCGTACTGTAAAGTGTGACACTTCATTTGAAAGTTAATATATTATGCACCACATAACATTAACTTAAATAAAGTTAGTAATAATGCATTCTTTTTCATGTTAAGTTCATTTTTGATTTAGTTAATATAATATTACGTAGTGCATTGAATTACTAATAAAAGTAGCTTTTAAATGAAGGTTCACGCTTTACAATACGTAACGGTTTTTTTATCCCGCTAGAGGGCGTTAAAATGAAAAATTACGCAATGAACATCGTCATATTGCTGAATTTTCCATAATATTGCATTTTCCGTGATGTGTCATACTTGGTACTTTCCCTATTTAAATTGTATTGATTAGATTGATGGATGGGAGAGGAATGATATACGACAGTTGAGGATACTATAGAAAGGTGACCCCTTGAAATACAAATCAACATGTTCTGCATTTCTTTCAAAAACAAATTCTACTTCAAGATAGGGCCGGTCGTTACCCACCCTTAATGAAATACCCTGTATATGAAAGCACAAGAATTCGTCTAACCTCAAAAAAGAGCAGAAAGTTTCATTTTGTTGCATTTTAACGTACCAAAACGTTAATTTAAATATTAAATTTTTTTTAACTTAATCTTTGCTTTTTCGTTGTTTTTTATTTAATACGTATTTTAATATCTTTAAAAGATTCTTAGCAATTGAAATATTTAATTGATATTTTTTATTAGAGATCAACATCTTAATATAAATATTAAATTACATACATCCCATTGTATCAATAAAGATAATTGCAATTATCGATACATAGAACAAACAGACTCTATAAAATATCTTGGGGTACTACTTGACCAACATTTAAAGTGGAAGGATCATATTGGTTATGTTAATAGACGATTACGACTTTTAATGCATAAATTGTTTGAATTGTGCGACACTATGCCTCAAAAAAATTTAATAATTTTATACTCCTCACTAGTGGAATCTATTATAAGATACTGTATTCCAGCATAGGGCGCAGCTTACAAAATAGCATTAAATAATTTACAAATTGCACAAAATTTAATCCTAAAACTAATATTTAGGAAAGATAGATTATTCTCCACACAAAATCTATATCAAGAAACCAGTATGCTAAATATCCGATTAATATATATTTATCAATGTTTAATAAGAATATTTCATGAACAAAAATCTTACACACAAATACAACAAACTAGAGATACTCGGTCAAAATTAAATTTAAATGTTATTGTTGAATTTTTTAGTAAAACAGCGACCCAAAACTTATTTCTATTCTTCAGCCCAAAAATCTTTAATGTTCTTCAAAAAAAAAATAAAAGAAATAACCAATTTTAAAAGTTTTAAAAAAGTAATTAATTATATTAAAAATTACCCAGATAAATTTCCTTTCTACTGATTTTACATTGTTTTTTATTAATAGTAATTACATGTACAATTACCAGGATTTTGCCTAATGGTCATCTGATCAATCACTCTTGAATCTTGAAATAGTAAAATTAAAACTATTTAATTAAAAATTTGTTACATTGCCTTAAATACCAATTACATTATTTAAAACTCGTTAAAATGCTTCACTGGACTAAAAGCCACAAGACAGGCCACTTAGCCTAGCGTGGTTATAAGCCCTGTAAGACATTTTATAATTATTATATTTTAGAAATCAGTAAAACATTTTTATGCATGTAATACTATTTGCAATAGATTGAATTAGGCCGATATCGCACTCTACATATCGGTATCAGTCGATCCCTAAGATATATACATGGAAATGTTCACCACTTCAGAGATTAACACCATTTTTAGTACTGAAACTACTCTCAGTTGAAGACATCTGTTTATTTGTCCCATCTCATAAAAATAAAACAAATCAAAGTTTTTCAATTTTCAGGTATTTAATGTAAAATTTTATTGGTCGATGTATACAAAAATATAATCATTCTGAGAAAATATATGCCTCAGAACAAGGATAAAAGAAAACTTCTATTATATATATTTTTTTTCAGATTTGTTTGTCCACATTGTTCAGATTGTACAAATATATTTAGTAAAGGAGGAGGTGAATCCTTAGCAGAAATGACAAACATTCCATTACTGGGAACATTGCCGATAGATCCTAAAGTTGGACAACTATTAGGAAAATCTTGTGTCAGGGAATTTCCAGATTCACCATTGTCGAAGGAATTCAATAATATTGTAAATAAAATTGTCAGTACATGATAGATATATTTTTAGGGAATAAAAAAGTTATACTTTTTATTTTATGGTCGTGTATCTTTCATGGTTTGTTAAAATATATATTTTTTTTAACAAGCTTTTATTTCAATTTTGTTACAGTAAGTATATGTTAAAATCTATAAATTAAATTTTCCGGGTTTATAATGTTTCAATAAACTACTTTTTAACCGACTTCAAAAAAGGAGGAGGTTGTCAATTCGTCGCGATATTTTCATATGTTAACTCTGTGACTCAATAATGATTCATTCTCGTGCCTACATTCCATGAAATATCTAACCAAATTATATTTATCAACTGGTAAAATCTGGAGTCTTACAGAAAACCGTTTTAGGATCAATTCTATAGAGCAGATATTCCAACATTGGACTCTACCTAGTTATGAGGATCCCACAATAGCATCTGCAACGAAATCATCTCTTTGTAATTGAAGAATGGCTCAAAACATGTAGAATTAAAATCAACGTAACAAAATATCACCTCATAGCACTTAGGAAAATCAATATCTTTCAGTTTATGTAAAGAAATAAACTCTTATGAAATACTTTCTTGATTCTAAATTCAACTGTAGCCAACATGTAATGAAAGACGAAACCAATTAAACCTATAAATGAGGAAAGTATATTGGTTGTTAGGTAGATCACAAATGTCACTAGAAAACAAGATATTAATATATAAATCTGAAATCATCCTTATATGACATTGAAGTATGGCCCCATCAAGCAAATCCAGCTTCGTAGTAATCCAACAAACACAATACAAAATTATTCGCTCAATACTTGAAACATACGAGTTTACAAGTAATTAGTTTTTAATACGAGGGCTGTTAGCTTCTGGTAAATGATATTTTTGCAACAAATTTTGTCTAACATTTTAGTCTAGTTGATTACAAGTTTAGTTAGTGACAGTTGTCAAATAATCTGATTGTAAGTTACATAAGTTTAAAGAAATCCTTTCTCAAATAAATGATGAACAAGGAGCATTATTGAGCTGTGATTTTTTACAATTTCAAGTGTGGCTTAAACAGTAAAAAATGTTTTGAGGAAATCAAACGAGTGATTGGTGACAAATCATGTTCCTTCACTAATGTAAAGCAATGGTTCAATGCATTTCAACGTGGTCAACTTTCCTTAAATGACAGTTTTTGAACTACTAAACCAAAAACGGCACTAAAAGAAAAAGTATTGATATTATTTGGAACATGATTAAAGAGGACACACATTACTGTCGGAAACATTCAGGCGACTTTAAAGATTGGTTTGGTGTGAAGGCCATTAACTATTTTACACAAATATTTGATAGTCCATAAGCTTTGTTCTCGGTGGAACTTAACTCAAAAAGAAAACCTTGTGAGACGGCTTTAACCGTGGACCATCTAATTTGGTGTACATCATCACAGGTGATGAAACATTGGAATACTGCTATGATCCTGAAAAAAAAAAGCAACAATCGTAGTTTGGGTCTTTGAGAATGAGTCGGCTGAGAAAAAAGTTGTTCCCGATAATAGCCGAAAAAAAAGATGGTCACCACTTTTTTTGTAATTACTAGGCATGTTTCCACTGCACCACTGAAGTATAGACGTACTGTTAATTCAGAATGGTACACTACTGTTTGTTTGCCTCAAGTTCGCAAAAAACGTCCAAGAGGAAGGATCATCTTTCATCAAGATAACGCTCGGGTTCACACTGTTCCTTATTAAATACATCTGCCAAACCTTACAACCTGGAAAGATAATCCAGATGCCCTTACTCTTTAAGGGTTCGTTGGGTGTACAAATGGATCCAGAATAGATGAGGGTAGGTACTGCAACGTTCGCCTAAGGACTACTCTTTTCACCTTAAGGCACGCCACTGATTCTCAACATAAATTTTCACAAACTATTTGAAAATATCGTAATGAGATTCTTTAAACAAATTATTTACTCTGCCAGATATCTACCAGGATCGCCTCGAGAATGTTCATGGACTGCCAAATGTCCATTCCTGGATTATATTCCCACATTCCCATTTTTTTTTTGTACAACCGCAACTCAACACAAACTATTTTAGATTATTAATAATTTTTTATTTTAACACCATTTCTTTTTTTATTATTAAAAATCGCTTGATCTGAGCGAGGATCGAACTCACGACACATCCGTTAACGTTTTACGCTTTCAACAGTTAGACAATCTCAACCAACCAGCTACTTGATTTTTTTTTACTAGGTAGATATGGTTATAATGGAATAAGATTTCAAACTTCCGCCAACAGAATGAAATGCAATAGATTCAATTTGTCAATTAATTTTTAATAACCAATTATATTTAAAAAAAGTATATAGATGGGTATTATCTGGAAACTTAATACATAATGACCTAAGATGGACGTCAAAATACTACTAAAAATTAAGTCCAAAAACAGACGTCCTCTGGGTATCGATATGCAGCTGTCAAATTAATGACGTACACTGGATCTCTGAATACGGATATGCACGATCTCACCCTCAAATGGATCGAAAGTGGACGTCTATTGGATTGTGTGCTGTCTTGGAACGATCTTAGGACCTGAATACAGATATTTCGGGGAATGGCCAAACATCTTTCAGGATCGCCTCACGAGTGTTCCTGGTCACCAAGGGCGGTTCTGGGAGAGGAGCTATGGAGGCCATTGCCCCCAAGATGAAAATTCTTACAATCTATGAGTCTTTTCTTAAAGATTATATGCTAAAAAGGAAACGGCTGATGGCAATGCCCCCCTTTAAAAAATAATAATAATTCGTCCTGTAGCCGCCCATGCTGGTCACAAATATTTCGGAGAATGACGAAGATGATAGGCTTGCAATAATGGGCTTTGGCAATCCACTGAATTGACTTCCCTAACCCAAAAACTCTTGTGATAAAGTAAATTCCATTAAAATCAAATGAATATATTATGTATCTGAGATTACTGTAAGAATGGTTAAATAAGAAACAATTTTTCCTAGCTTCTGCAAGAAATATCGGTTTATTTTGATTCTATTCTACAGTATGATTCATAAGGAATAGGTAATATTTTATCTACAGATCTTATAGCGGAAAATGTGATTTTTATCCTTAGTAATTGGGAGTCATATGTAGGGTTCTGTTTAACCAAAGCTTATTCGATTATCTAATTATAAACACTTTTTTGTGTTAAAAAATAACTACACTACTGAATTATTTTTATAACTTAACACCCTGTATCTCAGTAAAAATAAATATTTGACCCCCAGTTATTTATTTAGTAATTTACGGGCTAATGATAAAAAACAAAATAAAAAATATACATTTCAATAACTAATAAATAGAAAATTCATGAAAAATCAATACAATATTAAAATTATGAATTTTTAATAATTGCCAAGCTGGCGAGAAAATGCTAGAGTGGATGAAAAAAATCCAGTACTTATTTTCTGGAAATGAAAGAATGGGCGGCATATATTTATCCACATGTCTAACTGGAACTCTTTTATTTTGGAGAAGTTTGAGATACTCTTTTATTTTGGAGAAGTTCGAGATGTAAATAATTCTGAATAGTTGTAATTATAGTTATCCACATGTACAATACCAGAATTAAATGTCATATATCTTATGAATTTCTTTTGTACTTGTTTAATTTTATGGATAAGGTCACACTTATATTTTATAGAATCAATGTATAGGTAAAATATCAATTCCTTTATTAATCACATTGTATGTACAACAGGTTATAAAGCCTCTCCATTAACATACCTTTATGATTTGTTTCATTAAAAATAAAATTTTATTAGTTGAACCATAATAAAAAACAATATTACTTTATTTAACATTTTTTATTTGAGCTCTGTAGGTAACAATTTAATTTCAATTATTCAAGTGTAGTACATCATATCTTGTTTTCAAAAATAGGCTTTATGAAAGAAATAAACTAATACTGTCATTCATGTTGTTTGTTGATGCTTATTCCTTTTTTATGTCCCACATTTTAATAAATTGCCAAAATATTTTATCTATGAAATTTTTTTCTTAAATAAAAATTAACTTATATGCAATTGAAGTGGGTAAAAAAAGAAGTAAACATCTCCATATTTTTAGCCAAAATAATATTTAATATGGGCATGTTGTTCTCAGATATATTTGGTTTCCTTCTATCCATTAACCAGATTTATATCTACTAGGAACACTACAGTAATGTAATATTGCAAAAAATAATATGCATTAAGTGGACATTATTACACAAGTAAAAATCGCCAAAGGGAAATAGTTTATGCAAATATTAATTTTGTAAATAAATCATAGTATTTTGTTTATAAAATGGATATCTTGCATTGAACCCTTCGATTTGACGATTTAATACTTTTCAATGTTTGAAAGGGATTTAACTTTTATCTACAAATTTTATTGGGTGTAATTATTTAAAAAAACGCATCAATAAAATTAAATTTTGTCGCGCAGTCCAATTGAGAAAATAGATAAAATCATCAGTATTTACTCCTTTTAATTATACTTTATGCAAATATTATTTTGCTTAATATAAGCTAATAAATGATTTAGATCAATCTATTACTCAAATTATATTTTTTATGTATTGAAAATAAATTGATTCAACTTACCTCAAATTCTTTCAAGTGTATTTTTTACATTTCCCAAATTAGTTAACTAATGTATTAAGTAAAAAATAAAAGAAACTAATCATTGAATTTTAAGATCGATTCAATTTAATATTTTTAGAAAGTATTGAGAAATTTGAAGCAAAAAACATACTGAACATTTTTAGATATTTCTAAACTATTATTTACTACTGTTTAAGTAAATAATAAAACACACTAACTATAAATTTGCATTTTAAAAGTTTTAGACCTGAAATTTTGAGGAGTATTAAAATGAAAAATTGGATAATTTTCAATTTTTTTTTAAATTTTTATTTATATTTTATTACAAAGGTAAAATAAATTAAGGAACAGAGTAATGAAGTTTTACAATTTTTATTATCCCATAGTATTAGCCTAATAATATAATAATAGTCTTATTCTGCACATGTAATAAATTACAAAAATTAAGATAGTAATACTTTGGCCTAGAGTGCATATTTTATGGTCACTCGATCCCATATTATAAACACGGCAGTCCTTGCCCCCAAAATGGGCATATATGTAAAACAGAAATAAAGAATAATTGTAAGCAAAAACAAATTAGAAGCACTTCCTGTGGACAATTGAGGGACCAGATTCGTCGTATTCCTGTTTGGAGATCCACATCTGTTGGAAGGTGGAAAGTGATGCCAAGATGGAACCACCGATCCATACTGAGTATTTCCTTTCTGGGGGAGCGATAATCTTGATTTTCATTGTGCTTGGGGCCAAGGCAGTGATTTCTTTTTGCATTCTATCGGCAATACCTGGGTACATGGTGGTACCACCAGAGAGTACTGTGTTGGCGTACAAGTCCTTACGGATATCTACATCGCACTTCATGATTGAGTTGTATGTCGTTTCATGGATACCAGCAGCTTCCATACCCAAGAAGGATGGTTGGAAGAGAGCTTCTGGACAACGGAATCTTTCATTACCAATGGTGATGACCTGTCCATCGGGAAGTTCGTAGCTCTTCTCCAAAGAGCTGGAGCTGGCGGCGGTGGCCATTTCTTGTTCAAAGTCTAGGGCTACATAGCAGAGTTTTTCTTTGATGTCACGTACAATTTCTCTTTCGGCAGTGGTGGTGAAAGAGTATCCACGTTCAGTCAAGATTTTCATGAGGTAATCAGTCAAGTCTCTACCAGCCAAATCCAAACGGAGGATGGCATGAGGAAGGGCATAACCTTCGTAGATTGGGACAGTGTGGGATACACCATCTCCAGAATCCAATACAATACCGGTGGTACGACCAGAAGCATACAAGGAAAGTACAGCCTGGATGGCAACATACATGGCTGGGGTGTTGAATGTTTCAAACATAATTTGTGTCATCTTTTCCCTGTTGGCTTTGGGGTTGAGTGGAGCTTCTGTCAAAAGGACAGGATGTTCTTCTGGGGCTACTCTAAGTTCATTGTAGAATGTGTGATGCCAGATTTTCTCCATGTCATCCCAGTTTGTGACTATTCCGTGCTCAATTGGGTATTTTAGGGTGAGGATACCTCTTTTGCTTTGGGCTTCATCTCCTACGTAAGAGTCTTTTTGTCCCATTCCTACCATTACACCCTGATGTCTTGGGCGTCCGACGATGGATGGGAATACGGCACGGGGCGCGTCATCCCCGGCGAAACCGGCCTTGCACATACCGGATCCATTGTCTACAACTAAAGCGGCAACTTCTTCTTCACACATTTTGATAGGTTAGTACTGAAACAAAAAAAAACCGTTAATACCGTTTAGAATATTTAACTTATTGATTAACAAAATTATTAATTTTTAACAAATACACTTAGTCAATTTTAAAAATTCCTGTTCAAAGTTTAAAAATTAAAGTTCAAGATTAAAAATTGAAGTTCAAGATTAAAAATTAAAGTTCAAAGTTTAAAAATACCTATTTATTAACTAAAGAATTATTAACTGGTGGAATGAATGAACATTTAAAAAATCGTCCGTTAGAATAAACCGGTATTTCAACATCGATCAAGCCGGCAGATACATATTAAATCAGTTGCAAAGTTTCAGAATGAAATTCCTTGACCAATTCAAGAAGTTTTTATGGAGAGCTATGGGAATGGGATCCGCCCAACTTAATTATCATACTTTTTTTAGTCATTGATATCTCTATGAAAGATTTTAAGAAAAAAAAAAAAACAGGTTGGTATATAAAAGTGACAGTATCCAAAAATTAAATTCACTAAAAAATTTTGAACCACATAAACCCGAATCACTTTGCACTATAAAAATAATTAAAATAAAATCCAAAAAGTGGAAACACGTTGCACGACCACACCTATTCATTTTAACGGAACTTTTTAAAAACTTTTCACTTTTTTACTATTGGGTTTAAAAATGAACACTTACTTTGGTTTCTAGTATTAAATGTTTAAATAATTTAAAAGCACAGCTTAGTTCTAATTGCTGTACTTGACTTGCACAAAAATATCACAAGACTGGAATGTCTAAACTTCAAGTTTTCAACCATATATATGATTATTTGCCCCTCCCTGTTGAAAATCGCTTGAGAGCGCAGTGTCTGTGCTCAGTTGAGCCAATAGCGAGCAACATTACCATATATGGCAATGTATTGCATCGATTTTTTTCCCTTTCCCTCGAGTCATCAAACTGACACACTTCTATACGTAAATTTTAAATAAGAATCAATGACGTTTCATAGAAATCAGAAAAGGATAAGAATACCGGCAAGAGCCTAATTACATTAATTCCATCATCTCTTTACTGTATTTAGTAATAAATTTACAAATTTGATTGCAGTTTATCCACAAAAATCAGATTGTTGATTTAATTCTAAACGGCATGTGACGGGAGAAACATCAAAGAGGTTATAAATAGTGTCGGCATTTAAATTTGAATTCAACTACGCTATTTTTACTACAACCACTTGCCGTCGGGGTAAAAATAGATCGGTATTGTTTAAATTTCAGAATGACACCGAACGTGGTTGTGTCTTAACAGGTGCTACGCCCCTTCGGAGTTTTGTTAAATGGTATTTTTAAAAATCTACTTTACACAGACTATTTTATAAATATTTACTTCTAAGAATAGTTCTAAGATTAAAGTCAATTAAGGCTATACAAGAATTAAAAATAAAAAAATGTTCTTACCGTTTGACCAAGAAGACACGTCACAAAACAACAGTGAACAACTAACTAGTGGAATTCTGTGGAATGAAATGAAGAGTTGCCGGTTTGCGATTTCGAGGAAGTGTCACTACACTTATGAACTAGGGGGTATAGCGGAAAGAAAATTTAAATTTTACTTTTATCTAAATTGATCTTAAATGTTTTGTTTTGATACATCTATAATTCTTGACGTTTAATTAGTAGTTTTTTCTTGTCAAAAATTTGCATTTGTTTAGAAACAAGAGAAATTATTGTGTTTTGGTACGTGGCCTCCCCTCGAGAGTTCTGAATAATGGACTGCTCCTCCCCACCAACATCATTCACAAACGTTACCATATATGGGCATAAAGCTGATTGCGGCTTTCTATTGGTCAGGTTAACGGCGGTTTTGCCCTAACCTAACTTGAAGGTTCGAAAGCAAGACATGGTGCACGGTGTTGCGCGCCGCGGATCGGCGTGACCCATCCATGGAAGCCGGTGGCCGTTGGTCGCGGTCTTCTTTCCCGATTCATCTTTAGACCTCGTTCGTCGACCTTGAAAACTTATGTCACATTAGTTTAGCCTTTAGAATCAGCCCAGAATTCCATATTGTATGTGTATAGCTATATAATGAATGGTATATTGAAGCTAGATGGAGTATTTTAATACCTAATACTTAGTCCTAATATGAATTTTTAGGATATTTTTTTTATTTATAGTTAGGTAACTAGGTACGTGCCTACCGTAACTTCAAGGTTGGCTCACAATAGCGTTTATGGGTATTTTTTCACACAACTTTCTTCAGTAAGTAGGTATCTAGGTACCCACTGTCATTTTAGATAAACATGAAATAGGTATGTAGAGACGTTTTCATTTTAAAATTTAGAACCACCGATGAAATTGTACTTCCTCCCATTTTTCAGCTTTAGGTAAGGTACCTATAACAAGTTTTAATTTTCTGAATTTGCATCACATAAGAAAAGCTTTCTTTTGCTTCACCTACCCAAGTGACCAAAGTTTGATTCGATTATATTTTCTTATCGAAAGTTTCGAGGCGATTAGGTAGGTACCTATTACAGGGGGTGGTCCATAAGTAGGTAGGTATATAATGGCCTGTAACTGTTGCGCGCTACAAATACCTACAGTAATTTCTTGTTTCCGAAATAGTACCTACAGGGTGATAAAGTTGATACTTGCCATATTTTATTAAATTTGACAAGAAATTTATTGGCACAAAACGTACATTATAACTTTAGAAAATCCAGTTCCCAGTGGCGTACTCAAAAAGAAAACATTTTATTTTAACTAATTTTCTCCAATTGTAACTACTCACCATATAGGTAGGTACCTACCTACTAGGTATTTTTTTACTAAAACTATTATTGTCATGTAAGTAATGTTTTGACAACTTTAAACTCAAAAAAATGGCGGAGTTAAAATAAAATGTATCCAGTTTTTTTAAGATTAAACAGGTATTGGGGCCTATTCTGTAAAAATTCCTTTATATTTAACGGCCTTTAAAAATATTGGCGGCCTTTAAAAATATGTTCGTATTCGTTAATTTACTTCTGTCATTATTTAAACAGATTTCTAATGTATTTTTTCTACACCCGTATTATAATAATGCACTTATATGCCCATAATCCGTTTCATAATGATACCCATTATGATACAGATTTTTCATTACGATACAGATTTTTAATCAATAGAAACCTACAATTTTTCAATCAAGCATGCTGTTTGACGTTTGTCCTAGGTTCCTATGTAATTATTTTAGTTGTCAAAACGTATTAAATTTTCGTAGGTAGCTAAACTTCGATAATTATAATATTAAAATGTCTGATATTAGCGATATAGAAGACTCCTCCACACATATCGGAGAAAGCAGAAAATACAGTACAAAATATTTTACCGCAAAAATCTAGGGAAATACCAATACCTGAAGTAATACCATTAATTACAATTTTGTAGAATTTTTTATAGAAATACGAGTAATTACCTACTGTTATTGTGTTCAATACTAATATAAATATAATATTTATAGGTCTTGATTATTTATCGGGTGTAGAAAAAATAGCGTATGCAACTCTTATGTAATGGTTATTAAAACACTCGCATAAACCATACGAAACTCGCCTTTGGCTCGTTTCGTATCCCGGTTAATGCTCGTGTATTAATAACCATCATTACATGATCGTTGCATAATATACTATTAAAGATCCGTTTAAATAATGCCAGAAGTAAAGAAGAAAATATTTTTAAAGGCCGTTAAATATAAAGGAATTGTTACAGAATAGGCCCCATCTGTAAAACTAAACACTTTTTGACAAGAGAACAAAATTTCGACAAAAGACAAAAAAGTCTAGTCAGAATAATTACAGAAGTCTCTACCTATTAGGCATTCCAAACAAAATGGCTGCCCGTATAAAATGACAGGCTACTGACAGGCACATGATAGGTTATGATATGGCAACACTGTAAGAATGGTGGTTTGATATAGGGTCAATGATATAGATTGATCATCCATGGTTTTAAAAATAAACATAAGCTTATGCCTTGAAGTAAAAATGTAGGCAATTATTTTTTTTTTAAACACATTTTTGCTAAACCGATTTAAATTAGCCAGACAATATGGCTGCTCGCAAACGACCCGCTTTAAGCAATCTATATAACTAACTATATAGGTATCATTGACCTGTTAATGACAACATGCCCACAGGGTTGCCATATCTAAACTGTCAGAACCAATGAACTGGAGTGGGGTAGAAAGCCAATGTGCATATTGTATCAATAGAACAAGATGCGACTCTATGGGCGCAGCCATTTTTATTTCTCATCTCACTCGGGAGTATTTATAATGACCATTTTCTGTTTCACATTGTTATTGTTCAATTCACAAGCTGGTGGATCAGACAACAACAAAGTGAAATAGAAAATGGTTGTTATAAATACTCCCGAGTGATATGAAAAATAACCTGTCTTCGCCCATAGAGTCGCATCTCAAGCCTATTGACAAGCATTCTACCCCACTCCAGTTCATTGGTCAGAACCCACTGGTAGCCATTTGGACAGGTCTTTGGAATGCGTAATAGGAATGTGACCTTAGTATTACATTCGTGCCGACAAGAACATTTTCTTGCCTTCACGTTTCCCAAAATGCAAAAAATCTTGTCTCTTGTCTGTGCTGGCGTATACGCACTGACAGGCTAAAGGCCAATTTACACGTATCCAGTAGCTGGCGCCAGTCTCACTGGCATGCCAATTCTTGGCTTGGCGAGCAAAGCGCTACACCCCGGTCGTTTACACGAGTCGTGAATCTTCACTGAACTTTCGGATCATTTTATCAAAGAAACACAAAAACAATAAATTCAATGCTCAATCTTCGTAGGTGTGCTAGCGACTGGCGCCGATGTATTCAGACGTTATCTGCAACACTGCCGCTTGTGTTAGCTTGTGGAAGCTGCTGGCAAGAAGAATAGTCACACTCTATTCGCTCCAGTGCTGGCGCCAGCTACTGGATACGTGTAAATCGGCCTTAACTCCAGAACGAAAGCGTCGATCCAGCATCGATTCTCACACTTTACTTGATCATTTCTTCCAGCGGTGGACCCTACTGATTTTCTGAATTTTCGGATAGTATCAATGTTTAACAATGAATTTCTCATGAAACTTATTTTATATAATACTTTAGGAACGGATACGATTTCACTAGATAGTAGTAGATAACCATGCTTGTCAACTTCAAACCATAGACATTTTTTTATATTGCTGTTAAACGTCAACTAGATTATTTGTATTCAGTGGCGAAGCCAGCAATTTTTTATGGGAGAGGTTTTTGAGAACTATGGGGGGGTTCCATCAAGAAAGTGAATAAAAACATCAATCAATAGCGATCAGCGACAATACTATAGCCGAAATGGTGACGCGAGGACCCTCCATGGGGGGGGGGGTTTCTGAGTTGTGACATCTCATTATGCAACTGGTAGACCATTTTGACACTTGCTGCGATTACAAAAAATGTCACAGATTTATTAAAATCATTGCCAATTTCAATAAACTTCGGTATTTTGTGTCTATACAGGATGTCCCAGTTCCAGAATATGTGGGAAATCTCCCGGATTCAGATAGAACATAGAAAATAAAAAAGTGATAAGTTCCTATACATTGTTTCCTACGTCCCCCTTTTTCGGAAAAAATAAATAAATAAGATAATGAATCGGGAATTGAATATGTATATGAACCAGAAAAAATAACAAATAATGTAGGTAGTTACTTTAAAATTCTTTTAATTGTCAAAAATAAATATTTAAGGTCTATTTTTAAAAATTAATGTTAACAATTTAATCATTAAATCGAATTTACTATTAAAATGGACATTACATCAATCAAAATAGAAATTAGACGTCTGACTTGACAGCTTATGCGGAAAGTAGATTCATATTCACACACGTGTGGAAAGTAAATTTATCCACACGCGTGTGATATAAGGCAGTTTCTATAGTGACAACCAATGCATAAAACTATTTTAAACGAAAACAAGTTATTTTATTGATATTAATCAAGTGTACCTTTTTTAGTTTAAGGTGTCTAAAAATATTATTGTTGTGTCTTATCGGGTCGGTGGTGTAGCAATCGGGTCGGTGGTGTAGCAATCGGGTCGGTGGTGTAGCAGTCTAACGCGCTTATATTCATTTATAGGCAAGTTTATGGTCGGAGACTGACGGGCTTCGAATCACAGCCCGGACTATGTGGATTTTTAATTAAATTGCATGGTTCGGTATAGGATTCAATTTCTGTTGATATGACATGCAGATTAAAAATCGCCATGCATTACCGTCTCGATGATGGTGGGTGAGGTTTTCCGGGTTTTCCTCACCTGTAAGTCAAATGGCACCATCAATCATCTTTAAGTCGCCCCGGAGCGCCACGGCAAATAATAATAATAGCCGTCCCTTTCCCCGTAGAAGCTCAGCTTTTGGGGATAAAATTCACTCATAAGGGGGTGAATTAGGGAGAGTATTATTATTATTATTATTATTATTATACAGAGTGTAAAAAATATTAGCCACTCGCAAACTAAATAAACCAAATGTTTTTAAAATGATCTATTTTACGGAGACTTTTCTAGTATTTAAAAATTAATAAATTATACCAAAGACTTTAAAAAAACTATTTTTAGGGGTGTCCATTAATTATGGGACCAGGACAGGGATTCTTATGTGCGAACTCGAACAGAGAGAAACATTACATAAGTATTGCATTCTGTCGAACGAAAATAGGTATCTCGACACGTGCCGTATCGAAC